GAATTTCTCGTGGGTGTTGCCTCACTCCCATTGGCTAGTGTAAACAATCGTACGACCATAGTGACGAACAGCGGGGTTCTTAACGAAAGTCGTGGTACGAGTCTCGGTGTGTAAACGATTGCACCGAGATTTACCTTCCCTTAAACGTATGTCATACATGGCAATCTTGTCAGGTATAGCTAAAGTACTGTCGCAAATCTTTCGCACACTATCGTGTATAAAGTGCACGTAATTGATCAGAATTTATGGTACAGTATACAGAGGGAGCTCGTAACAACAAACTGTCAACTCAAACAAGTTTTTTTCTTTTTTCTTTTTAGGGTTTGAAGGCATTACAAAGAGGGGCGGGGCACTATAAAATACATGTTAAAAGTAAAAACATTTAAAAGACGAAAAATACAAAATTAGTACAAAACATCATTTAAGAAACTGAATTGCAGGTTTTAGTTGAGCTAGTTGGTACATACTGTTGGCAATCGGGTCAGCCAAACACGGCAAAACAAGGACACGAAGGAAGGGACTGGGCAAACACACCGCTGACTAACAGCTGACTTTTACTTTATCCTCTTCCCAGCCTAGACCCTTTCTTCTTCGTCCTACGGAACATTAAACACAATTAAAACAACATTTTGGCCTACCACTCAACGGGGTATTTGCAGTTGGCCACACCCCGTTGGCCTACCACTCAACGACAGTATTTGCGGTTTGCCACACCTATGTTGGGCAACCCAACCTGCCTCTGCCTGTCAGAATGCATTGGCATTGTGCCATTGTATTCATCTTCGTTGCCTTTTATGGCCCGCGCTAGCGTATGCTCAAACAAGAATGAGCAAAAAAGACAAAATACGTGCAAATTGATAGGTGCCGAATATGTTGGTCGATCGAAGCTTTGCCCTTTGAAAATGACGACAGCGGGAAGCAAAGCCAGAAAAGGGGGTGCACTCATGCACAGAAGCTTGTCGGAAAAAGGTCCATTGCAGTTCTTAAATGGACTGTGTTAGTAATTGTGACTGTACAGCTGTGGGGAGGCAATTCCAATCAATGGAGGTTCGGGGCAAGGGCATTAAAAGTAGATGAGCTGCAATGGAGGATCCTGACTTCTAGTTGATGATTTGTGCTTGACGATATGCAAGATAGTTCTTGATGTAGCGCTTAAGCAAGTGTTAGGTTAAGGCCGATTTGCACACTCGCGGCTGCTTAGGACCTTGTGCCTTGAAACCACTCAAAATCTCGTAGGACGACCTGGCTCTTTCGGGTAGTCGTGAAACAGTTTCATTTTCCGTATATTTCCTATTTTTGTCGCACATCGTTCTTTCTTTCTGGGCTCGAAAAATTTTTGACAGTATTATAAATCATCATTTCTCCTAGACAGTATGTATATTGGATACTGCAAGTACCGCAAAACCTTCGCTCTAGTGAAATGCAGTTCCAGGGTCGCCTCATGGATGGTGCCAGCGTGTACTCTCATTGTGGGAGATTGCGAGAGTTCGGTCCTAAGCAAACGTAAGTGTGTGAACGGGCCTTGACAGTGATAAATCTTGCGAAACAAACATAGCCGAGATATTTTTTAATCATTAACACAGTGCAACCGTCGTCTGCTATTGCAGCTACGACGTCATTCCGAAGCTCGTCAACTACATGGCTCCCGTGGACTTGTCGACCTACTCGGAAGAGGCCAAGTGAGTTCTTAGCGACGCAGACATTCTTTTGAGTCTCTGGGTATGAGGTGCAATAAATATGGAGCCCTCTTTTCTTTGCAGGGACAAGCTCGCTTTAAGGTTCTCCGCTATATCAAATTGAGCTTGACCAAAGTATTGCATATTAGTACTGTACAGCGTGTCCCCAGGAAAAAAAATTCTCGGCTTTTTTTTTTGTTTCAAAAATTAACTGTGCATTGTCAAACTCTCTGTCTTTGTCCAAATGTAACTCTAGCAGTCCGGACCACATGCCAAAGTTTCAGAGCTAACCATTATTGTCTTATTCAAAAGTCGGAAGAGTCTTTCTGAAACTTTCAATGGAAGAACATGTCCCGCTCTATGTACTTTGTGCCACTCGGCCCCATGTATTCGCTGCCTTTGTCAGCCACCATTTTCCCCATAAAAAATTTCAGAAAATCGCTCGTAACTGTTAAATAAGGTAACTGTTAGTTCTGAACCCTTGACATCTGGACCGGTCTGCTAGCACTACTTTTGGGCGGAGGATAAATTTGGACAATAGTGAGTTCTTTTTTGCCTTTAAAAACAGAAAGCACTCAATTTTTTTAGGGAACAGCCTTATAACTGTGTAAAAGGCATAAGAATCTGTGCGAGGTATCGAGCTCACTTCCCCCTCCCTGAGCAACCCTTTGCATCTGCTTCACACTCACTCTTCATGTAGAGTGTGTCTCCCTTTTAAAAGAAATTGACAGTTTTTTTCACTGCAATTAATCTATGCATCTCCAAACACTTGTTCTTCGCCGGCCCTAACGGTCTGAACCAGGCGCCACAGTTTCTAAACTAACAGTTACCTTATTCAAAACATAGAAATGTTTTTCTGAAAATTTCAGGGGGAAAATGGGGCCCATTTTCCCGCTTACGGTAAGTGGTGCCGTAAAGCTCCATGCATTGGAGAGCTGTATTGGCTGCCATTTTCCCATGGAAAATTTAAGAAAATCGCTTTTTTAAATAAAATAATGGTTAGTGCTGAAACTTTGGCATCCGGTTCGGATTGCTAGCCCTCTTGGGCAGAGAATGAGCGTTTGGCAATGCGTAGTTTATTTTGGCGGGGAAAAAACAACCTGTAAATATCATTTTGGGACACCTCATAGAACATTTACCAGAAGTGAGCAATAAAGTGGGCTTTGTGTATTTTCTTGCCTGTCAATTTTTCCAGCCTCCAGTTTTTAGTGATATAAAACAAGTTGCTCGATTCTCAAGGATGGATCGGACTGAAACTACATATTTCGTGCACTCGGGGCAGTGGTGCCTTGAATGTTGACACATATTTAAACTTCGGACTTCTCTTTCTTTTTTTACCTACTTACTATTTATTACAAATTATCCGACCGTGATGATAAAGATAAGTCCCTTACAAGTGATTACCCTGATGTAATTGGAAGTGTTGACTTTACACTCAACATTATGTAATATTATGTAGTGTAGAAAATGATGCGACCCCGAGAGATTTCCGTAGCTTTTTTTTGCTTGATCGTGAAATGACAATTCGAGTTAATGAAAAGCACCTCTTGGGACTGAAAAAGACGTAATGCATATTGTTTTGCTGCAATGACGAGTTGCAAGTAAGAGGTCTAGGAGCAAGATGACTGTGCCCAAGGGAACAGTGGCAGGCATTTATTTCAATATATCGTACGCTCTCATTACGTCAAATTCGAAGGGACTATACTAGTTAATTCTACTTGAATTGAGAGAAGTTTGTACTATCGAAAGAACAATATAAATATTAAATAAACAAACTAATATATGGGGTGTTTTTTTTTGTTGTTTTTTTTGGCTATTCAACTTATTTATTATGACGGATTGCCTCCTATACTACAGTAATCCCTCGTTATAACGTTCAACTTCGATAAAGGCCATAATTCGAAAAAAGTGATTTCGTCATAGCGAGGGATTGCCGTATGTCCCGCTGGCTGTAGTACTCACCTGCACAGACCACATTCGTGTACCTATGACATCAGTCTGGAAATCCTAAGCAAAACACCCTGTACTAGTATGTACAGGGGCCGTTCATGGTTGACTGGGTGTTTTGCCAATAATAAATCGCTGAGCAAGTGTAGCGCAATGAAACTTGGAGAGGACGTTAGTGTTATGCGTCTTTAATATCCCGTGCCCGTAACGAGGCATGCACAGCAGTTCCAGCTGTCATGGCGGCGAGCATTGTGTATACCCATGGAGTACTGGTGTGTAATCACATTTGTGGCGAAGAAGAAAGTTAAATCAGCTAAGATTTTTAGAAGATTGCAAGGGCAGTATGGGAAACAATTGATGTTACGGACAGGATTGTACAAATAGTGTCTGCGGTTTGGCGAAGGGCCCCAGTCATTGCAGGTGAACTGCAGTTGTTGAGCAGAGTTCTTTCTATGCCAAAGGAATTGCGAAGTCACCAAAATTATAGCTGCAGTGCCTGGATACATGCGAAGAATTATTTGAAAAGACTACATGATGTTGTGCTTGTCGCATTTTCTATTTGCTCCGCAGGAATTAAAGTCCCGGTCAACCTCGAACTACTCTAGTCCATGTCTAAATTCCGTCTCGAGACTCAACATACCCTTCGTCTAGTGGCTTGTGCCTCAGCACGGTAGAATGAAAGATGAAATCCTACGGTTAGGAATGCGACCATGATGGAAGCAGCTATCTGAACTGTCTGGGATTCACTGGGTCCAGCATTCTCACTAATTATTACACGCGAATTTCGCCGCCAGTTAATACATTCAAAGGCCAATTCTCGTCGCTTTGAAAACCCTATCAGCAGCATAGAAGGATCATGAATTAGCCGAGGTGTGTGTAGAAGTTAAGCAGTTTAGAACTTTATTGAAATAATGACAAGCCAACTAAGTAATTAGGATTTGTTTAAATCAGCCGAAAGTATAAATTCACTTTGCGCGACTGTGTTGTACATATCTGTTTGCACTATCTGATGTTTTGCTCCCGTGTGGTCCTCCTAATTTGTTCACAACTTTCTCTCGCAGGACGGAGTTGTTTGGGAGCCTGTTCGGACAGAAGAAGTATGCCAGATAGAACCTTCCAATAAAACGGGTTTTAATGAAGCTGCATTACTTTCCATTTTGAATAGATACTATAAGTGTTTCCTGACTGGCTCTCTCATCCCATTAGGGATCTTTATTGCAATTACTGAATGTGTGAGTTTGATTCAACAGGCCTTGCAACAGAATTTCTGCTGTTGTTTTTCTTTTTTTTTATTGTTTTTGCTGGCATTAGCTTTTGATGCACATTACTCAATGAGCCCACTGTAAGCCACAAAATCTGCGCTTATCGTAATTCATTATGAGTGATATTGCGGGCATTAAATGGGAAAGTAATGTGAACGGGAATTGTCGTAGAACAACGCAGCAGGGTGAGAAGAAGCGCTTATTCTTGTCGGCATACTCTTTCCTGGACTGGTTAGCCTCTTCCAGACTTGTACCTAACGCCTTACAGGTAATGGATTACTTGTAATCGATTACATTTTTCTGTAATTTTGTAACGCTTCAATTACTTTCTTTAAGGAGTAAGGATCCTTGTAATTGAATTACTTTTGCTGTAATCGATTACAAAATTACCCATTAAAATTTTTCTCTTTTTTTTTTTTTTTGTCGTTTTTTGTTTGTTGTTGGGGTCATTCAGCTCTGGGCAACAGGAAATTTTTCCTTTCCAACCACTAAGTACGGGACCTAGTGGATTAGCAGGCTACTTTACTATGCTTCGTTTCCTGGGTACTTTTTTTTTTTTTTTTGGTACATTGGAGTCTACGTTTGGGGATGAAAAATGACCTTATCCAGCCTCTTGTGAGTAATGTATTTAAACAGCGCTCTTTTTATTTATTTATTTCTCACAAGAGGGGTTGGGTGTGTTGGCATCACTCACTCAGCTCTAAGCAAAAACGGTTAAGGCTTTCTTTTTTTTTTTTTTTCGGAACAACTGAGCTCGAGATTCCAAGGATTATGCTACCGTAATAAAAATAAGTTGAATGAAAAGTAATGTGGGGAGTAATCGATTACTGTAGAGTAATTTTTCGATTACTTTTTTGAGGCTGTAATTGTAATCGGTTACTTTTTACAGTGAAGTAATTGGAATTTTAATTGGTTACTTTTTGTCAGTAATGTGTGCAAGTCTGGCCTCTTCTCTCTCCCTTTTTAGCTATGCTCGACAGTTTATTTCTTCTAAATGTTCCTGCTATCGGTTCATCGACACACCTTCCAACATCTCGTCAAAAGCGTCTTTCTGCACCTATCGTCTCGGATTGGCCTCAGCCGCTGGAATCCGGGTGGAGCCGAGCTTGCCGAACCCTCGGTGGTTCCGACGATGCCTAGTGCAAGCTTGGGCCTGTGATTATATGAAAGAGGGCTCTCCGTGCATAGTGCGGACCATTTAGAAACCTAGGATTAGCACTCACAAATTCATTTTTGACTTATCGGAGACGCCAAATGAGTTTCCTTTAATTCCGGTATGCTTCCAGTGAACTAATGAAGCCAGCAATCCAATCCAATTCACCCCGTAAAAAAATATTTCATCGACGAAAAGTTGCAGTTGCTCGCGTCCACGAAATGAGTTTAAAGGAAACATCCGACTGTCCCAGTGTCAACGAAATGTGCATTCGTGGAAAGTTGTCCACAAGACATGTTTCCATGACATGTGTTTCAGCAAAGCTACTAGATTTTTTTTTTTCTCGCAGCATTATTGTTGACGTTACATTATAGTGTACTAGAATACGGGGTAGTGTTGGAACCGGAGCTGCCCGTGTGGGGCGTGTGGTGTAGATTACGATAGGTGTCGATACCGGCCACGGTGACACCGGCGCATAGGCAGTAGGGCCAGTATTGTGGTAGTTGTGCACGTGCACCGCGTGCACGCGCACGTGCGGACTGCAGCGCTGCGATTGTTGTCTACACGCGCAGCCTCACATGCTTCCATTGCCGAGCTGCGCCGGTTCAAATACTACCCAGTATTCTAGTACACTGTAGTTACATAGCTGCCGTGCAGCTGATGATATGAAGATAGTTTCGGTTTTACCGTAGACGCCCAAAACCAAACTTTGCACGAATATATATATATATATTATACACGTCGTAATTTAGAGGCACTGACTGAGCTGAAAGCAGTCGTAATCGCAAATTCGAAAATATTGACTCGAGTGCAATCTACCTTCAGTACTTCCCGACACTGGGTTCATTACTATATTTCAAAGCTATTTATAAATTAAATTGCCTTCTGAATTAGCGCTAGTGCGCACACAGGCGTACGCCTGTGTGCGCTGGTTACTGCAGGCATGATGGAGACAACATGGTGACACTACAGTGTAGCGACGCCCATAGAGTTATTGCGACGCCCAAGCTACGAAGCAAGTGAGGAAAACGAGCCAACCAAGGCGAGGAGAGTAGAGCAGTGTAGAGAGGGACGAAAGAAAACAGAAATTAACTGATATCAATAAAAGCGGTTTTATAAAGCATTAGACATTCAAGCTGTGCAATTCTGGAACGTTTTTTGTCACGGTAGCTATACAGGGTGTTTGTTTTTTTTTTTTTGTTTTTTTTTAGCTGCGCCAAACTTTCAAAAAAGGGAACGTGAGATAGAGTAATTTAAGCCCTGGGGAAGTGTTAATGGCCATGGCGGCTTCTAGAAAAAAGTTAAAATTAGCTAATTAACTAAAATGTTTAACTAATAGCGAGTTCGTTTCACGGCACTCGTGCCCACGCGTGCCCACTCGCAGCGTGGAACGGGTTCGTTTCGGCCGGCGCTCCACGAGTGGTTGCACTCTCCGAGTTCGTTTCAGCGCTTACACCCCACGCGTGCATGCACTCGCTGCACCGAGAAAATCGGGAGTGCGCCAAAATGCAATCCCGTCATGCCTCGCTCCGGTGGGGCCGGCGAGGAGCGGGAGCAGACGACGAGGGTTCGTCTGCTACGATGTGTCGCGGAACCGAACGGAAAAAAAAGTAGATTTTCTGATAGAAATCGCGTTCCGCGGGCAACAAAATCAAACGCGAGCTTGAATTGTGAGCGTCTGCTATTTCTCGAAGGAAGCAATTGACAACCCGTGATTTATTTGCAGGTTTTAAATCGCTCTGTTGCCGCACAAATGCTGAAATACACCAGTGTGTAAAGAAATGCTCAGAACAAACGCAACAGCGGCCCCCGAGATGTCTATCACCATCGGTGTGCGGGTGAAAAATTTAACATTTGTCGACAAAACTCCCCCAGCAGAAACCTCTGACTGCCCAATAAGCATCAGAGAAAGCTAAAGATGGAGACTTTACCCGAGGATTGGTCAACATCATCATGTTTAACATTTACCTACGTCAGCTAACTTGCCCCGTCGTATTTTGTTCGAGAAAGCTCTCGTTCTCGACGCCCTCACCAAGGCTAATATCTAATCCACCTATAATGACAACCCAAATCGAAAGTCCCAGTTTTGCTGGATATTCCAACAGGCTAGTTTTAAGCCGTACCCTTTCAGTGGTTCACGCATAATACCATGCTCAAACGGATCAAGTTTCTGCTCGGACAGCATCATCAGTTTTCTTCAGTGTAAACGGTAATAAGAATTGAAAGATCGCAACCACCTGCTTTGTAGACAGCTGGTTGCGGAAATTTACGCAGTCTCTAATTATCTCTACGGCAGCCTAGCTGCTTGAAGTCATCGTAACTATGAACTACAGGTTGCAGCGACCAACGTTTGTAGATAAACGCTGTTAGCGACTGTATTCTCGCATTCCCACGCATCACTCCGAACAGAAAGGCGCTAGTTTCGGTTTGAAGTCGGTACCTTTTCTACAACATAGATGGCGGCAGCATCAGTCTTCTGCACTCGGTGCATTTGGCGAGTTCGTTTGAGTCCAGTTTTCCGTGCAACACTCTGTGAGTGCAATGCATTCTGGGAGAGAACTCGAACGGTGCCAGTGCGTGTGAAACGAACTCGCTATAACTTTTTAATTTTTCACTTGAGAGCACATAATATATTTAGAGAATTGAAGCTCGACCTCAAGATGGTCTAGCCGTGCCATCAAAGTTTGAATAAAACATTTGTAGTAGGTGCTACGGGGTCAAGAAATTTCACTTTGGTACGCGGCGTCAAACCGAAACTAAGCGAGAAAGAGCGCCGGTAAAGTTTTCGCTCCGCTCCTGTTATCTTCTGCACTCGGTGCATTTGGCGAGTTCGTTTGAGTCCAGTTTTCCGTGCAACACTCTGCGAGTGCGATGAATTCTGGGAGAGAACTCGAACGGTGCCAGTACGTGTGAAAGAAACAACAAAAACACCCTGTATTTTGGAGTTTCCGGTTGTTTATAGTTTGCCATCAATACCGACAGGTGGCGTCAGAAACAGATTAGCAGACCGCGCGATTTCTTGGCGTGGTTGACGACGAATTTGCGTAAGTTTATTTCACATGGTGATTTATATAAAAATTTAAATTGCATGATCAAGAAAGGCATATACAGGCTCTTACACGTCCGTAGTCATCACCGCGGCTTAGGGGCAGCGTCGCTGAAGCGTGCCAACAAGGATCACTTCGAAACTCAAACCAGGTAACTTTTTGAACCCTTACTTTGGGGAGTTAGTGAGGTACGTATGCCGAGACTTCATGCTTATATGAGAAAACTAGTCTAATAGGCGCGTCGGGCATGCAGGTGAGCTGGAAGGGCTGCAAAAGTCACGTTACAAGAGTTGTCCAGTGACATGTCGGATGGCACTTCGAAGTTTGTCGGGTTTGTTCTTCGGCTTTGCTTGTCCGAGGGGCGTAGCATACACTGCGCGTCATTAGAGAGTTTTTAGTAGATCGTCCCGATGACTTCGATAACGATACCCTGCCGCCGCCTTTGCGCTGGCATCGTGTCGCGATCGGGGGTATCGGAAGGATCGTAACGATCTACTAAAACTCTCTACTGTTTGTCTAATGTTACTTTGAACTTGCCCTACGTAAGCACTTCCCGCCCTGGGGCAATCAGTTCGCCGAACGACGTTTCATCGACAAATCGTTTTGTCGACACTGCGACGTTTTATCGGTGCACCTTGCAACGTTTCGTCGAAAGCGTCTTTCCGCGCATATCGCATTGGTTACCGGCATCCGGATGTAAGCACTTCCCGCCCTGGGGCAATCAGTTCGCCGAACGACGTTTCATCGACAGATCGTTTTGTCGCCGCTGCGACGTTTCATCGATGCACACCTTGCAACGTTTCGTCGAAAGCGTCTTTCCGGGCATATCGCCTCGGTAACCGGCATCCGGATGACAGCCTAGCTTGCCGAACTCTTGGCGGTTCCGCTGAGGTCTGCTGCAAGCACGGGCCTGAGAATATATTAAATCTTCCCCAAGCAGAGCGAGGGGTGTCCGCGCGTAGCGCAGACTGTATGGAAGCTCGGGAATTCGTTTTGGCACTATCGGGCACCCGCGGAGCGCGGGCGAAAAGGCGAAAAGTGGTCGCAGCGCCCCTGGCGAGCTCGGAGTCTCCGCTAGCAGACGAATTCTCCAGAGCGCACTGGCTTCGCCTATCTCCGCGTAATGTAACCAATGAAAAAAAAAAAAAAAAAAAAAAAGTCTAGCGGGTATTTGCTGTTTTGAATATTAAAAAGAGGTGCCGCCTCATGAGAGAAGGACATTTCCTTTGCGTGGGAAATATGTTATAGCTTTCAGGGTGCAATTTTGGGGCTCTCCTGAAGCACTGTCAAAACCTTCGCGCGATTTTTTTTTTTTTTTTAAGGACAATGCAAAAGGTTTAGAGCATAGCTTCGTTTCAACTGTACTGTTCTTTTCTTCTTCATTATCTGTTAAAAATAATAAACGGAGATGCTAGTCATTCTAAGGCATGACCGGCTACTCCATTACTGTTCTTAATAGAGTAGCCGGTCACGCCTTAGAATGACTAACATCTCCATTTATTATTGTTCTTACCAATCAATTACTTTTGGCGAGCTGGCTAATTCGTTAAAGGAGCTGTGCAACGATATTCAATTGGAATGTTTTTCTCTCTACACTAGCTTACTGGCACACCTCGGACTCAAGGATACTCACACGCAACACCATTGGCCAAGAAACTCCTTTGTTGTGGTGTAATTTCAAGGACAAAAGCGATCATTTTCATTCAATCTCTCCTTTGCAAAATTTGATGACGTAACTCGGGGATCCCAGTACACCCAAGTGACGATATTTGAATGCGGTTCAAAGATTGGACCCGAGCATTGCGTGGGCACTCGACTTGGGCTCGTGACAATTGCTAGCTCGAGAAGCATTCGGGTTGTGACCCGTGTCCAATCGCTGCAACGACGACAACAGCCGAGCCATAACAATGTCTGGAACTCAGCGCGTGTCCTGCGCTTTGCCAACCCCTGCGCGTGGCTATGATCAACACTGGCGGCATATAATCGGCTCCAGATCACGTGGCCGCTTGTTCTGGCTGCGAGTTGAGGGGGTGAACGCCGCTCGTTTTTCTTAAATTTTTTTCTGGGACTTCTATTGCGTGGGGTGAAAAACGAACGCGTGTTTCATAGGTCATTAACGTTAGGGATCTGATTTAAGCGGTATTTGTGCACAGTACAAAAATTGTTGCATCGCTCCTTTAAGATCGTCTCCAGACGAAGAAGCAGAAAGCAATTTCGAACCATGTACGTTACTGCGAGGTCAGTATGCTCTGGAACAAGTCGATTGTGCACATGTAAATCTGACGCTCCTTCTAAAATTAATACAAACAAAACAAAAAAAAAACAAAAAAAAAACATACTTTTTGCGCATGCAAAAGAAAAGAGGAGAGCGCCGTGGCGCAAATATATGTAATTTCAAATTCCAAACGTTACAGCCTGGACGACTAACGTCTTCTGCGTCTTCTACGATAAAGGCCGGCACCCGTTTAACCGTCTTTGAACTCCTTCCATTTTTCAAAGTCTACTTTTTTTTTTATGTTTGATGCGTCGCTACGCCGCCGCGTTCTTTCTTCCTCCTTTTATGTTGTTGTTCTTTTTGTGCTTTTTCCTCTCTCTCTTTTGTTTACTTGACGTTGGAACATCGTGTATATTGATTTGCCTTGTTTGACTTAGTTCTTGCTCTCTTTCCTCCGCTTCGGCACTACCGCCGGTTCATCTGCTACGCTGTGCCCGGATATTTTGAGGGTCGTCTGCAACTTTGGTGTTGCTGTTGTTGTTTTCTTCCACCCTCGATTGAGTTTCTAATCTGAAATCTTCATATGTGCGTTTTGATATTTATTGAATATATTAAAAAGTGTAGGCTAGTTCTACATTTCTATTTTGATTTTATTTGAACACGCGGCACGTCTGCTATGGTCATCGTTGGTTGTTCAAACGGCCGCCTTCGGGCATACACCAAAGCACACTTGGAGATGGCAGGCATGCCATGTGCTGCCTACCACTGCAAAAACAAGTTTTTGCGGTGTGGTGAAAAATCCTTCTTTCGCTTCCTGAAGACTGAACAAACGCGAGTAATTAAGTTACTACAGCATTCAAATTAAACCGGAAAGCAGGGATGGGCAAAATCCATGCAAATATGTATCGAAATACAAATACAAAATACTTCGTCAAAAATGTAATTAATTACAAATCTAATTACATTCCCAAAAAAAGCATTTAAGTACAAGATACAAATACAACCAAATGTATTTGGTCTCCTCCAAATACTTTTCCAAATACATTCCTCAAAATTTGCGTCAGCGACTTCAGGGCATCTGCAACGGGTTTTTGGGTATCTCATTTTAATTTTGCATCGCACACTCGGGAGTTAGTATGCGGGGCTCTAGTAACGTAATAGAAATATAATCACAAAAAAAAAATGTAATCAGCTTGTACGTAATAGGCGAAAAAAGTACAGCTCGAGCTTCAAGTAGCTTTTTTGTCGATTACATTTTGGTATAAACCAACAAAGAACCAAGACGACCAAGACGCGCAGTACTAACTAGAGAGTGTTTTATTCTTTCAACTCGCACCAGTTACGAAAATCTGGACGACCCGCGCATTTAGAATGTTCCAGGCAAAAATATGGATGGAAATCAGGCTGGAAAGCATCACAAGTTGTCACAGACACTTATTTAGCCAGTCTGCCTGTGAACGTACATTTCGTCACTATTCTTGCCCTGGACTAGCGCCGTAATCACAAAGTCACTAAACGCTTGTGCTTGATTGAGAGACTGCATTCGGTGCAGGACGTAGTTTTCTTCCTGCTCTGGACAGTGACAATCAATTTGAGGGATGTATTTTCTCCCACAAAATTGTATTTAATTACAATTGTATTTAAAATATCCACGTTTTAGTATTTAAATACGCACGTCAAATACATTACCCAATTTGTAATTAAATACAAATGCAAAATACACAAAGTATTTGAAATACGTATTTCAAATACCTGTATTTGAAATACTGCCCATCCCTGCCAGAAAGCTATCCAAGTTTAGCTTCAAAATCGCCACTGACGCCTCAACAGACGATTATGACCAGCGATTTCCCTACACCCCCCCCCCCCCCCCCCCCTTGGTTTTCTGAAGGTAGCCCCTTAATTTGCAACGACTGCTATTATCGATGCCCCCCCCCCCCCCCCCCCCCCTAAAATTTTAGACATCCCCCTAATTTCGATTCCGGGGGAAACCCCTGTTTATGACAACTCCACGGAGATCGCGGAGAACTTCACGAACTACAGACCAGATGCACAACTGAACACCCAGTCTTATGTATGATGACAGATCCAGTCAGATCGGTCATCATGCTTGTCAAGTCTAACTGCAATCAGAAACATGGAACACCTCAAAGGACATTTTTTTGAAGAACAAGAAATATTTGCAAGCGAAAATGACACCACCTTCCGACTTAGCTCGTCACCTAGTCGATAACATCAGCCGTGGATTCGACACACAGTTCACTGATATACAGGGTGTCTCAAATAGCGGCCAGGCTCTTGAAATTGACCGCAAAAATCGGTTTCTTAACTTATCGCGCTACGATTTTGTGAAGCGTTGCCCACAGGTGATGCATTCTTTCTATACTATTTTCAAAGAGCGAACTTACCTGAGGAAAAAGTAAAAAAAGAAAAAGGCTTAGCTCCTATGGAAACGCAGCGAAAGCCACCGGTCTTCAAACAATAGTGCGCCGTCTGGCACGGGAGACAAGAGATGGCGCAAGGGGTCGCGAAGCCAATTGCCGCTAACGAACGAGCATATATATATACGGCGCCGAGAGCCGGCGTCGATCTTTTCGAGTCAAAAGCGGCGCGCGTTCCGCAGGCGGCGACAGCCTCAGAACCAAAAACAGGCGCGGTAACAGCAAGGACCTGCAAAAGCAGACGGCATAAATACCCCGAAAAAAAAAACATATAAAAAAAAACAGTCAAAATAACCCGACACAGCATGTTTTTCAATCCATTATGTGTGCATTCAATATGTTTTATTAGCAAGGATGATAAAATCATGTATTGGCCACTAACATCGAAAAAGCTTACGCCGCATTTCATTCGAAAATACCGTCTGCTATTTGACACCGACTCTCGGCGCCGTATGCTCGTTCGTTGGCGGCAGTTGGCGTTTCGACCACTCGCGC